GCAGGTGGTTTTCAGCAGAGGCAGCCTTTCCAGGCCAGGCAGGGGCCACCACCTCAGCAGCAGCCCTACCAGCCTAGGCAGGGACAGCCATTCCAGCAGCCCCAGCATCAGTATGCCGAGCCAGCAGCAGCTCCAGCTCCCGATAATCAGATGACCGAGCTGAAGAACATTTTTGCGGCATTCATGACTACCAGTCAGGCGAATTTCACGAGGATGGACCAGAACATAGCCTCACTGGAGGCAGGCCAGAGGAACCAGGGTGCCATTTTGCAAGATTTACAGAACCAGGTTGGTGACATAGCTAGCCAAATTACTACCCGGGCCCCGGGGACTCTACCTGCCACTACCATTCCTAATCCTCGTGAGCCTCACCGACAGTTGGATGCCATTTTTACCCGGAGTGGTAAGTCCATATTTGTTGCTCCTGCATCAGCCAGGCAGGAGGAACCACTACCCGCTTCAGCACTTCCAACCGACGATGCAGAAGTGAGGGTGGAGAAGGAAGGCCCTCCTCCCAAGCCACAGCCAGTGGTTAAGGAGCATGTGCCCCAGCTTCCCTTCCCCACTCGCCTACACAAAGACAAGCTGGAGACTGAGTTTGCCAAGTTTATGGCAATGTTGAAGCAGCTCAGCATCAGTATGCCATTCGTGGAGGCACTGTCGAAGATGCCCAAGTACGCTAAGTTCATGAAAGACATCCTCACAAACAAGAAAAAACTTGGGGATCTTTCGACAGTGCTGCTGAGCGAGGAGTGTTCTGCTATCTTGCAGAACAATCTGCCCGAAAAGCGCAAGGACCCAGGGATTTTTACTATCCCTCTTACTATTGGCAGCATGCATGTAGGCAAGTCCTTGGCGGACCTAGGCGCTAGCATAAATTTCATGTAATATAAGTTGTTTAAAAAGCTAGACCTAGGTGAACTTAGCCCTACTAGGATGAGCATTCAACTAGCTGACCGTTCCATTGTGCATCCTAGGGGCGTCATAGAGGATCTGCTTGTTAATGTGGGTGCATTCACATATCCTGTTGACTTTGTTATTCTGGATATAAATGAGAATGTGGATGTGCCTTTGATTCTGGGTAAACCATTTCTTTTCACCACCAAGGCACTTATTGATGTGCATGATGGTAAACTGATCCTACGTGCTGGGAATGAACAGGCTACTTTTTCTGTGATTGAATTCGATCACTGTGTTATGATTGATTGTTGTCACACCTGTGCATGCTATTTCTGACCAGGTACACGAGCCTGTTTGTATCCTTCTGCATCTCTCATTTTGCAGGACCCTCCTCTCACTCCTTCGCCGCCACTCCTTCCAGCCTCGCCTCCGAACAAAAAGATCAAAGAGGAGTGGCGGCCGAAGCAGCAGGTGGCTAAGCCTACTTGGAAGAAAGGTGGAAACCACTATGAGCTAGTCCCACCTCCTGCATCACGACCACCCTGGCCATCTGAGTACTCACTCGCCTGCATCTTGCTGGATGGCCAGGTCGAGCTGACCAATGCTGGTGGCTGCACCCGGCGGGTGCATGGCCACCACCTGAAGCTGTACCTCAAGAGCGATGTGGATTTGCTCTTGGAGGCACCTGTTCCTGCACCCCTCTGAGTATCCACCATGGGCGTCCAGCTAAAAGACGGTAAAGAAGCGCTTGTGGGGAGGCAACCCCACCACGGTTTGCATTTCTTTTTCCCTTTTTCTGTGTTTTTTCTGTGTCGTGTTGAGTCAGTTGCATGTCTGTGTTGAATTTCGGTCGTGGTTATGTCTCGGTTTGGTGTTTTCGTGCAGGGGAGGTTGAAAATTTGGGAGAACGAGCATTATGGCTGGTCGGGTATTTTGGCTCATGACCGGGACCCCTTCTGCCTTCCGAGGCGCCCGAATGGCAAATCCCTGACCTCGACCCAAAAATACCCGACCGGGTATTTTTGGCTCGAGACCGGGGATTTCCCAGCCTTGACACACAGCGTTTCACGATCCCCGACCTTGCCCAAAAATACCCGACCGAGTATTTTTGGCTCGAGGCCGGGGAATTCCTCGCACACAAAACGCTGCGTTTGTCAAACCCCCGGTCGTGGACTCAAAATACCCGACCGCGGATTTTTGCTTTATAAGCAAACCCCCGGTCTTTTTTCTCTCTCTACCCTCATTTTTTCCAAATTTTCCCCCTCCTCCGCGCTCAAAACCTCTGCCCTCTCTCCTCCCTTGGTCGCCGCCGACCGCGGCCGCCGCCCGCCGCCGCCACCTCCGTCGCCGGTCATTTCCGGCGTTTTTCCGGCGACTTTCCGGCCTTTTTCCGGCGAGCCTCCCGGGTCATTTTTTGCCCCTTCTCGCATCCCTCACCCATTTTTGGAGCCTTAGCTACAGTTCTACTTGAGTTTCCAGGTTTGTTTCATGTTACCTGCTATTTTCCTAAAAAATCGAACTGTAGATTGTAGGACCGAGAACTGTGTTTGCATGCTTGAGTATGAATGGTTATATCTATGGTGTGTGTGCTGCCCGTGTGATTGATGTTGTTGGTTCTGTTGTTCTTGCCTTGATTCCGGTTGAGTTGCTTGCGATTCAACCGGTTGTGCTTAAACTGTAGCCTAGGTGGTCCTTAAGTGTGGGGGATGTGATGAACCCATGTTGTTGGTCCTGACAAGTTTTTTCTTGGCTCCACCTTTGGTTTGTTGATTTTGCAGGAGCATGTCACTCGACCATCCGTTTGTGCAAGACTTGCGCCTGCACCCGGATAGTAAAGCTACCTGGATCGGACCGCTTTTTGGGCAAGCGGTCGAGGAGGTAAGACGAACACTCCTCGCCAAGAGTCACGTTGGCGAGGCCTTCAAACATGGGCTTCTTGATGAGGAATCCTTCGAGGTTCTTGGCATGTCTTGGAATTTGATCCATGGCCTCGAGGAACGGGGTGTTGAGGTGGAGGTTGCGGAGCATTTCCATGAACCCTCCACACTCGTTCTCCAACCTCTCCTTGAACATCCTTGTGGGGTAGGGAAGAGGTGGTTTGTATCCATCCACCGGCAAAGCCTTTCTCGCCGCCTTCCTCTCATTCCTCGAGGGCTTCCCTTCTCCCTTCTTTGGGTTGGTCACTTCCTTGCCGGTATCTTCCTTCTCCATCACTTCACTAGTGGCGACTTCCGGAACAACCTTCGCACTTCTCACTTGAAGCGCATTTACCCCGACTTGGTCCTTGGGGTTCACCACAGTTTGTGAAGGTAAAGCTCTCTTGGGTCTCTCGGTGAGGATACCGGCCAGGTTGCGGATTTGCACCTCCAAGCTTTGAAGGCTCGCTTGATGACTTCGCAGACCCGCCTCAACCGAGGTAAACTTGGTAGTCGCCACATCCATAAATTGCTCAATCTTCTCGAACTTTTGGCTACTCGTACTCACAAAGGTGTTCACTAGGTCCTCAAGCTTAGATAACCTGTCGGGTTGTTGTTGTTGAAACCCTAGGGCACCTTGTGATTGATACGGTTGTTGGAAGTTTTGTTGAAAGCTTCGAGCGCGAGAAGCTTGTTTCACTTCTCTGATGAAATTGATTCCTGAAAGAACCCTAGATCGTCTTTTGGAAAGAACAGGTGAGAATGAAGAGAAATGGTTTTGATCGAAAATGGTTTGGTAAACAGAAAGAATATGTGTTGTAGCCTAAAGACACTGAACTTGGTCTCGGGCTCAATCAGCCAGGCCCAATTTTATTATCGAGCCCGTCCACAGCAAAGTTTACCAAAACGCTGCGCTTTGACTTAACCTCTCCAACAGTTTCTTCTTCCTTTGCTAAGACACGATCCCCTGTGTAAGTTTTTGTTCGAGTCCTGCAAAACAGAGTTAGACACACACAAACAGAGTATTCCCACCAGTACAGAAATTAAAATGCAGAATTTAAAGAACACACGCTCAGTTTTTACGTGGTATCCAGTATTGGGAAAAAGGATCCCAATACTGACTAATCCACGGTTGGAATATCACGATTTGTGATTTCCAACGATTCACTAATTCTTATGATATGTTTCGTTGATCACACCACACTCACTAGCTTAACCAGTCCAATCCAGGATGGTTAATCTACCCTCTAACACTGAATCCTGTACCCCAAGCTCTCCAGCTTCCGCGTTATCCAACGCCTCTCCTCTCTAACACTGTTTCTCTCCAGACTCAATGTTAAAGCTATCTTTTCGCTATCAATTACACTTGCTATTTCCTTAGCCTCTCTTGTGTATCTTGATCTCTCGAAAAGTTAGTATGTCCTTGACCTTGATCGAGCTATTTATCCTGCCATCATCTAGCCGTTGGGTTCTAGGAAGGTAGGTCTTCTCTTTTGAATTCCTTCCTCAAGTGCCACGCCTTCTGATTTACTCAATCCTTCTTTCCTTGCATAGATGATTCTTTCCAACTGCTACACGATATCCTTTCCTTGAGAATTGAGATAAATGACTGGCTTACTTGTTAAACATCTCCCCCTAAGCCAGTCAATGATCCTCTTAGCTGCTTGTTAGTTCCTGCACACACTTGAACAAACTGTCACGTGTAGCCTGTTCTACAAATTCTGAAACTTCTTCTTGAACTACTCTAACCAGATTGAGGACTTAAAACCCCCCATCATTTTATTAGACTGTTTGACGTTGAAACTCAAGAACATTCAGACACATATTAAACTAAAATGACACGAGCTCAGGCAGAGCATTATTCAAGACCAATACTGCAACGACAAAGACACTTAACTCGACCAACCTGATCCTCACACAGATCATTTTCTTGACTCCCCCACTCTAACCAGATTGAGGACTTAAAACCCCCATCATTTTATTAGACTGTTTGACGTTGAAACTCAAGAACATTCAGACACATATTAAACTAAAATGACACGAGCTCAGGCAGAGCATTATTCAAGACCAATACTGCAACGACAAAGACACTTAACTCGACCAACCTGATCCTCACACAGATCATTTTCTTGACTCCCCCTAAGCTAGACCACGACTCCCCCTAAGCTAGACAACCCAACCCTCTTAAAAGGAGAACCTAGGTGATGGCACATAATCTGATATGGTTTCTTCTTCATCCTCCATCATCAGATTTCTACTGCTGCTGCTTGCTTCCTCCTGCCTGAACATGGCTTGAATCGCTTCCAAAGGATCTATCATAGGGCGCTTCCCATTATCTCTGACGGTGCTAACCAGATCTGCCATATCTGGTCCTTCCTCAGCTTCATCCCTACCCAACTGAGATAGATGAAGTCCATCCTGATCAGAGGGAACTCCAGCAGCTGCTTCTCCCCCTGGAGCATTGACCAGCGGACCACGACGACCCACTGAAGCATACACTTTTCGCAGGACGAATTGAGCACGAAGTGATCCTAGCATATCTACACGAGCCACCTTAAAACGAAGGTCAATTCCTAAAGCCAGCAGGATCTGAGTGACTTGTGGAGCAAAAGGAAGCTCGGCATGAAAGTTATCAGCATGATAGTTCAGCATGTGGTCAAACATCAGGTGAGGATAACTGATGACCCTATTCTCCTTGGCACTGGCCAGAATCCATAGGTCGGATGGATAGATAGTATTGAGACCAAAAGATCTAGGCAGAAAACATCTGGTGATGTAAAAGTGCAAGACTTTGAGATCATCAAGGAGTCTACCAGTGTGGAATTCTGAGGGATAATAACGACCTGTGTCACAAGTATATAACCGCAGTGCATCTCCCTCATTGAAATCGACAGAGTGGAAGTCCAATTCATTCATGACTTCTGCGCCAGCGATGGGAATGCCAAGCAACAATGACAGCAGTTCCACATTGATAGTGATCAAATAATTGTACACTATCGTTGTGAAGCACGGAGGAGTAATATGAAGACAGGGCTTCATGTTTGAGTAGAACATTCTTACTGCCTCAGGACGAAACCCAAAATTACAATTTGGAAGGATATCATCCCATCCGATAGTGTTGATCAAGCGAGGAACATCCATTCCATATCTGTTGAACCGAGATGGATCAAGAGTGATGGAAGGATGGAGAGGACGATCCTGGAACTGTTGCAAATAGCGAGCATAACCTGCTGCATCCTCAAACCCTTTGCCATTGAAAATGGCAGCTTGAGCCAGACGCAAGGATGCTACGTGATTGTTGGAGGCAGCCATGAGAAATTTTGAGAGGGAGTGAAATCTTATTTTGTGAGATGAGATGAGATGAGAGTCTCAGCTAAAAGCCCCCTTTTAAAGGAGAGGAAGAAGTTTGATTTGGGAAACGGAAGTAAGAATAAGGAATGTGTTGAGGATTGCTCCGAAAGAAAAAGATTCCAAAAGAAATTAAGGAAGTTAGGATCAGGAAGGGTAACACAGAGAATAGGGATAATCTTGAATCAGGGAAGGAAAGGTAACTGGGATCAATTAGGAGATTCTGAAGACCGAGTTGACAAATTCACTATGTCATTGAGAGTGAATAACCCTAGCTCTCGACGATTACGAATGAAGGAGTCCGAGCCCAAGGGCTTAGTAAAAATGTCAGCCCACTGACATGAGGTTGGAACAAACTCCAATCCAATTTGACCTTCCTCAACTAATTCTCGAATGAAGTGATAACGAATGTCAATGTGTTTAGTTCGAGAATGTTGAACTGGATTCTTTGTCATATTTATAGAGCTTGTGTTGTCACACAACACAGGCACTGAGTTAGGACACAGACCATAGTCTTGAAGCTGATGCTTCATCCAGAGAATCTGAGTACAGCAGCAGCCTGCTGCAATGTACTCAGCCTCAGCCGTGGACAAGGCCACTGAGTTTTGTTTCTTACTAAACCAGGATACTAAAGAAGTGCCCAGAAACTGACATGTTCCTGAAGTACTTTTTCTATCTAAAACACATCCTGCAAAATCAGCATCTGAATACCCTAATAGCTCTAAGCTAGAGTCACGAGAATACCACAAACCAAGATCAGGACACCCACTCAGATATCTAAAAATTCTTTTGACTGCACTAAAGTGACTTTGTTTAGGCGCGCTCTGAAATCGAGCACATACACAGACACTATACATAATATCTTGACGACTAGCAGTTAGGTATAATAGTGATCTTATCATCCCTCTGAACATTTTTTCATTTACTGCTGTACCTGAGTCATCCTTATCCAGTTTAGTGTTTGCTGCCATGGGAGTGACAGCTGACTTTAAATTTCCAAACTCAAATCTTTTTAACATGTTTTGTAAGTATTTGGTTTGACAAATAAATGTACCAGCATGAGTTTGTTTGATCTGAAGCCCTAAAAAAAAGTTTAATTCTCCCATTAAGCTCATTTCAAAGGCACCTTTCATTTTTGTTTCAAATTCTTTGCAAAGTTTCTCACTTGTAGACCCAAAGATGATGTCATCCACATAGACTTGTACCAACAGAATGTGTTCTTTCTCTTGTTTAATGAACAGAGTCTTGTCTACCTTCCCTCTTCTAAACTTATTTTCTATCAGAAAAGAACTGAGTTTGTCATACCAAGCTCTGAGAGCTTGCTTTAATCCATAGAGTGCTTTCTTAAGTTTATATACATGATTAGGGTAATTATGATTTTCAAAACCTGGTGGTTGGGACACATATACTTCTTCTTTTAGGTCTCCGTTTAAAAATGCACTTTTTACATCCATTTGAAATAGTTTAAATCCTTTAGAACTAGCAAAAGCACATAGCATACGAATTGCTTCTAACCTTGCAACAGGGGCAAAGGTTTCCTCAAAGTCTATTCCCTCTTCCTGACAATATTCTTGTGCCACCAATCGAGATTTATTCCTAATTATAGTTCCTATTTCATCTTATTTGTTTTTATAGATCCATTTGGTACCTATTATTGCTCGGTTTTCAGGTTTAGGTACTAATTCCCACATATTTGCACGTTCAAACTGGTTCATTTCTTCAAACATAGAAGCTGTCCAGAATTCATCCTGAAGAGCTTCTTCAACATTTTTAGGTTCGACCAGAGACACAAAAGCTGCTAAGGATGGTAAAGTTTTGGAGCAAGTTGTCATACCTTGGTCTAGTGCTCCAATAATCTGACTGGGAGGGTGTCGCTTGGCTATGTGTGGAGGTGGCCGTATCAAGTTTCTTTCGGATCCATCTTCCTTGACAGTCTTTGTTTCCTTTGATTGGTCAGAGACTGATACTTCTTTCTCGTTGGATGCAGACCTTTCTGAGTTCTTGTCTTGAGGTGCATTTGTTAGACCTGGCTTCTCTTGCGTGATACTTGTTCCAAGTCCAAAATCATCATCGTCGAGTAAATCTGTACACTCAACAGTACCCTCATCAAATATCACATTGGCGGACTCCTCAACCTTGAGGGTCCGCTTGTTAAAAATCCTGTATGCCTTACTTGAATTCGAGTATCCCAAAAATACCGATTCATCAGATCTGGCATCGAACTTCCCTAGGTTATCCTTGGTATTCAAGACATAACACTTAACCCAAATGGATGAAAATATCCTAAATTAGGCTTCCTTCCTTTCCATATTTCATAGGGAGTTTTATTTATAGTTGATCTGATAAGAGCTCGGTTAGTTAAATAACATGATGTGTTAACTGCCTCTGCCCAAAAGTACTTAGGCAGATTATAGTCGTGAAGCATTGTACGAGCAATGTTAATTAAAGTTCTATTCTTACGTTCCACTACTCCATTTTGTTGAGGGGTTCTAGGAGCAGAGAAGTTATGTGAAATTCCTGATTCATTGCATAGTTGTTCAAACATATCAGAGCAAAATTCCCCTCCGTGGTCACTTCTGATACAAGCAATTTTACTTATCTTCTCATTTTCGACCTTTTTAACAAAAGTTTTGAAGTTTTCCAAAGCTTCATCCTTTTTAGCTAAGAAGAATACCCAAGTGAATCTAGAGTAATCATCCACAATGACAAATGCATAGGATTTCCCACCATAACTGACCACATTTGCAGGACCAAACAAATCCAGATGCAATAACTCTAAAATTCTAGAGGTGGATATAACTGATTTACTTTTAAAGCTTGACCTGGTTTGTTTTCCTTTTGCACAAGCATCACAGAAGAAGTCCTTCTTCTCGTTGATTCTTGGCAAACCCTTAACTAAATTCATTCTGGCCAGTTTGGATAGGACAGCAACATTGACATGGCCAATCCTCCTATGCCAATCTTGCTGTTCATTAGATTCCATGCTAACTAAGCACAATTCATTAAAGCTGCTCTTGTCATTAAGATCAATGGTATAAATTTTTCCACTCCTCTTTCCAGTTAATAAGATTTGTTTACTTTTGACATTTTCCACATAGCAACAAGTTGACTCAAAGATTACTCGGTTATCCTTTCCACACATCTGACTTATGAAAATTAGATCATATTTTAACCCTTCCACAAGCATCACAATTCTTATACAGGGACTAATTCCCACTTGACCCTTGCCAACAATTTCAGCCGAGTTGTTGTCACCAAAATAGACTTTACCAAAGTTTCCTAGTTTAAGAGATGAGAAAAGAAGTTTATTACCTGTCATATGGTGTGAGCACCCGCTGTCCATGATCCATTTTGTCACCTCCGTGCTCACTTGAAGGCAACACTGTAGACACAACATTCATTTTGTTTTGCAAACCCATATTTTCTTGGGTGCATTTGTGATCTCAGGATAATTTCTGTATTCAGTTGCAACATTGTTCTTTTCATATTTGGATTTGGCTATCCAGACTTGTTTAGTTGGATAATGAGACCAAGATGCATTCCTATTTCTTATAGTCTCTGACCTAAGTCTTTTTCTGCAATCCTTGATCCTGTGCCCATATGAGTGATAGTAATAACATTCTATCATTCTTCGATTAATATTAATACTCATTTCATGAAGATTTCTACTTTCTTGTAATTTCCTTGTGAGACCCTCGCATTTAAATTGCAACTCTTTCTTTTCTTCTTTTGTGTGCAACAGACTGTTATTCAGTGAGTTTTCTCTAAGTTTGCTAAGTTCTAATTCCTTCTCTAATTCAGTTAATCGTTTGAGGTTAACCTCATTTTCTTTCTTTAATGTGTTGTATTTGTTTTTAAGATTTTCAAATTCTATCTGAATGTCATTAATGATTTCCACCAGTATTTCATCATCAGAATTGTATAATTGTTCTAGTTTAGATGATCTTACCTGGGATAAGGATACTGGTGATTCTGAAGCTTCATCTTCTTCCTCTATTTGAGCAACTGCCATGTATGACCTGTGAATAGTTACTTCATCGTCTTCTTTGTCTTCATCCTCACTGCAACTCCAAGTTGCTGCCAAGGCTCTCTCTTTCTTCATCTGAGGGCACTCAGCTTTAATGTGGCCCATTCTGCCGCATTTAAAACAACCTGTAGAGCTTATCCCCTTCGATGCTGGACTCGACACACTTCGATTCCTTGCAAAAAATTTCCCTTGTGCTCCTCTTCCCACATCATTTTTCTCGAATTCCTTAGGCTTATTTCCAAAACTTCCTTGTCTCTTTTCTCTTCTAATTCTAATCAGTCTGCTTATCTGCTTGCTTAGCAATGCAAGCTCCTCATCTTCCAATTCATCAAGTTCTTCAGGTTCATCAACATAGCCAGTGGCTTTGAAGGCCACTCCTCTCTTTCCTTTCTCGCTAACTTCCTTCTCACTTCCTGTCTTAGTTAACTTCTCTTCGTGTGTAGCTAGTGATCCAATCAATTCATCTATGGCTAACGTCTCAAGATTCTTTGCTTCCTCTATAGCTATTACTTTTGGAGTCCACTTCTTAGGAAAACACCACAAGATTTTCCTCACCAAATCACCACTTTCGTACGATTTCCCTAAATTCTCCAGGCTGTTCACGATATTGGTAAATCTTTCATACATTTGCCTGATCGATTCTCCCTCTTCCATCTTGAATAACTCAAACTGATGTTTCAACGAATTTATGCGAGAGGTTTTAACCTGGGAGGTACCTTTATACGTGACTTGCAGCTTGTCCCATATTTCTTTGGCAGTTTTGCATCCAGCCACTTTGTGGTACTCCTCTGGTCCCAGCGCACAATACATCAAATTTGTCGCTTTGCAGTTTTGTTGGAACTTCTCGAAATCTTCGTCCGACCATTTTTCCTGATCGTCCTTGAGTTCATGAGGACCCTTGATAACTCTGGCCCATAATTTTGGATCTGTCGATCCG